CTCCCAACAATATCGCGAGCGCTTTTAATGTTTCAATTATTTAATACGTTTTAACAAAACTAATGCCGAAAGTACCCATTTGGCAACGTACATGAAAATCGTTGGCACCATGAGATTCTGCGTACTTTTTTACAAAATTATCACTTCCTAAAGCCTACTAAACACCTTCCATCTCCCTGTGACTCCATGAGCGCCTTTTTGTTTAAATTATTGTACATATTTTAGAAAAATAATGTCGGAAATTACCTATTTGTAAGTCAACTCAAAAACCCTTGGCACCATGAGATTCTACGTACCTTTTTACATGATTATCACTTCTCAAGCCTTAGCAGATAACTTCAATCTCCCAACAATATCGCGAGCGCTTTTAATGTTTCAATTATTTAATACGTTTTAACAAAACTAATGCCGAAAGTACCCATTTGGCAACGTACATGAAAATCGTTGGCACCATGAGATTCTGCGTACTTTTTTACAAAATTATCACTTCCTAAAGCCTACTAAACACCTTCCATCTCCCTGTGACTCCATGAGCGCCTTTTTGTTTAAATTATTGTACATATTTTAGAAAAATAATGTCGGAAATTACCTATTTGTAAGTCAACTCAAAAACCCTTGGCACCATGAGATTCTACGTACCTTTTTACATGATTATCACTTCTCAAGCCTTAGCAGATAACTTCAATCTCCCAACAATATCGCGAGCGCTTTTAATGTTTCAATTATTTAATACGTTTTAACAAAACTAATGCTGAAAGTACCCATTTGGCAACGTACATGAAAATCGTTGGCACCATGAGATTCTGCGTACTTTTTTACAAAATTATCACTTCCTAAAGCTTACTAAACACCTTCCATCTCCCTGTGATTCCATGAGCGCTTTTTGTTTAAATTATTGTACATATTTTAGAAAAATAATTCCGGAAAGTACCTATTTGTCAATTCACCCAAAAACCCTTGGCACCATGAGATTCTACGTACCTTTTTACATGATTATCACTTCTCAAGCCTTAGTAGGCATCTTCCATCTCTCAACAATATCGCGAGCGCTTTTAATGTTTAAATTATTTTATATATTTTAGCAAAAGTTATGCCGAAAGTACTTATTTGACATGGTACATGAAAACCGTTGGCACCATGAGATTCTACGTACCTTTTTACATTATTAGCATTTCTCAAAGCTTAGTAAACACCTTCCATCTTCCGGTGATTTCATGAGCGCCTTATTTGTTTCAAACATTTTATATATTTTAGAAAAACAATTCAGTGAAGAACCTATTTCATACCACATTTGAAAACAGATGGTACCATGAGATTCTACATACTTTCTTACATAATTATTACTTCTCAAAGACTAGTAAATACTTTCCATCTATCTGTAATTTTACGAGCGCTTTTTTTTTGTATAAATTATTTTATACAGTTTAGAAAAATAGTGCCGGAAAGTAACCATTTGGCAACATATATGAAAATCGTTGGCACCATGAGATTCTGCCTACTTTTTTACGTAATTTTCACTTGAGAAAGCTTACAAAATACCTTCTATCTTTCAATAATTTCACGAGCGCTTTTTTATGTTTGAATTATTGTATGTATTTCAGTTAAAATATTGCTGGAAAGTATGTATTTGACACCGCACTTGAAAACCATTAGGACCATGAGATTCTACATATTTTTTTACATAGTTATCAGTTCTTGGTGTTTAGTAAATACCTTCCACTTCCCAACAATTTCACGAGCGCTTTTTTATGTTAAAATTATTTTACATATTTTAGCCATAAAAAAATTCGAAAAATACTTATTTGACACCGCACTCGAAATCATTGTCACCTTGACTTTGAAAAGCACTTTACTATAACTATAAAATTTTAAGTTGACAAAAACCTAGGCATTACCAAAATATGAAATAAGTAAATGTAGTATTTGTTTGGGTGCCCTTATTCGCACACAATACACGCCACTGAGCTTTAATGAAAATCATTCACAAATAAAATATCATGTAACCTTCCCTGTAATGCATTATTAAATTAAAAAGCAATAGCTAAATTAACAAAATCAGTTTTACAAATTAACTTCAATTGAGTAATAGAACATTGCAAGTTATAACTACTTAAAAGGCATTATAACGATGAAAATTAGTTGACACTACGAAACATTACTATATTCTAAATAGGATTATAAAAATACTTACATTTGCCAGGTCAAAAACAGTGAATAATTTTGATTTTTCACTCGAAAATTGCACATACACCTACTTTCTAACCTAACTTGCTTGACAGCCACAGCTGATGAACTATCTATGGCACTAGCCTTGAATATATAAAAATAGCCATAGATAAGAATTTTAACAAGTTACGGAGGTGTCTATCTATCCGAATAATAAATTATTGCAATTAATTTAAACTGATTACACATCCATTAAACATTAAGATACGATTAATATTCTCATAACTGTAACATACCATGTCTGCCTATTTTAAAGCTGAATGTAAATTAACCAAATTGAAGATTCAATTAATTGTTAAACCAGTTGTATAAAGTAATTTTGATAATCAATACTATTTAAAAAAGTATTATTGTTTCTGAAGTCATATTATAGGTTTTATTTACACGAAAATGGTTTGATCTAACTGGTTAGCTCTATGAAAAACGTAGGCTCTAATGTAGCCACTTCGTACTGCTTGACAGTTTGTTTAGGTTTTGGCAATATAACCTTAAAAAGATCTGCTTTTAAAAGTAAGTTTTTAAGCCCTATTTTACCTAATTTTTAAATAATCCTCCACAGAATGATAAAGCAACACCGAATGTTTGTTTTAATAATGGTTTTTCATTTTAAAATATGAGTATAATTACCTTCCAATTTGGCCAGTGTGGTAACCAAGTGGGACAATCCCTTTACTCCTACCTTTATAACGATATCTTCTGGGAATTTCGCCGTTTTAAAGGTTCACAGTCACTGAATATCGAGTATAAAAACCATTCTCAAGACACCTGGTTTACTGTAAATAAAAGAAATCAGTTGTCTCCTAGGTCTATCTTGGTTGATACAGAAAACAAAGTTACATCAATTGTAAACAAGAATAATCCTTATAACTTCAAGAATATTATATCTGGAGCTTATGGAGGCTCAGCTAATAACTGGGCGTGTGGTTACCATTGTAAAAGTCGATTACTAATAGGAGAAATTTTGGAAGCAACCAGAAAAGAATTAGAAAAATGTAGTTTTGTGAAAAGTTTCATTTCTCTCTTTGGTGCAGGTGGGGGAACTGGGTCAGGCCTTGGTTGCTATACAATTGAAAAACTTAGAGAAGAATATCGAAGCAAGTTTATTATAAATTGCCTTATTCTTCCGCATGAGACAGGTGAAGTGGTTACTCAAAATTATAATGCTGTACATACTTTAGCTAAGTTGTATGATATCACTGATGCTTCAGTCATCTTCAGTAACGACCTACTGTTTAAAATATGTACTAGAAATTTACATATTGAAGAAGCAAATTTACATAACTTTAATGATGTTGTTGCTCAACAAATTGGGGGTGTCCTTCAACCAGTTAGTGGACATAACATGCCTATACCGTTAATTGATCTCGTAGCCCATCCAGATTATCGATTTTTGAACATTCACAGTGCTCCCCTCATTCCTAAACAGCATTTACATTATGAAACTCCAACATCTACGAATATAATTTTGAGTCAAATAGAAAGATCTCTTAAGGGATTGTACTGTGAATTGTCACAGTCAAACCAACCAAATTGTCCTTTTCTACCCTCAGAAATGAGATGCATCGGAAACATACTTTTCACAAGAGGAGAATTTACAAATTCAAGGGAAAACTTTCTAAGCGAAAATGCTTATGTACGATGGATGCCAAAAGATCGCAGAAACGTCTACTTTTATCAGAAAAGACCTCTCAAAGATACTGACCTGTCAACAACAATTATTTCAAATAATAATCTTTGTAGTTATTATTTAAATTCAGTAATACGAGACGCCTGGGAATTGTTCACAAACGGCGCCTATATACATCATTACAAAAAATTTGGGGTTGATGAACAGAGTTTTTTAAAGGNATTGTTTCATTGCTATATTATGCATGTATTATACATATAAACCTTCCTCTTGAATCACTCTATCTTTTAAAAAAAACCGCATCAAAATCAGTCGCGTAGTTTTAAAGATTTAAGCATACATAGGGACAGACAACGGGAAGCGACTTTGTTTTATACTATGTAGTGATTTATCATTGAATAGAAGAAATAAAAAGAAAATTTACAATCTCATACGATTGATGAATAGAAGATCCTTTTAATGGAATGCACGATTCCTCCTGTAGCGGATTTTCATTTTCAGTATCATGGGTGTAAAATAACGTAGAAGGCAAAAAGGCATAAAGAGCGCAATTATTGCAAAATTCTCACCTTCATACTAAATATAGACCGTTATACGACTTCATAGGGGTCATTACTACATTAGAGAACTCTGCAGAAAGCACGTACTTAAGTTTTCCATTGAAACAACAACAACAACCTACTATCTACACGGCTAATAGCTGATGAGTTATCAAAGACTGACTAGTTTCCGTTTATGGGCGAGACCTAATAAGTATCCATCAATTCCTCCGGTTCGTTACATCTACCGGTAGCTTACAAGCAAAATCTTGGTTTTATGATTACTTTTACGGCCACGGGAATCTAAATAAAGTTTCCCATATCACACGTGATATCATACATCGACGTCCTACACAAAAGGGCCCTTTATTACATAATATTTCGCTGCGCAAATGAAAATTAACTATCAACAACGACACGAAAAACTCATATCATTAAATCGCATGATATCACAACATACAATTTGTACAGAACAAATCTCATGATTATCATCATCATCATCATACGGTCGTCAGTCCTAAGACTGAACATTTGAATCCTAAGATTAATGTGAAGGAATGGAGACGTGGAGACGTGATTTTGAATGCTATATTTTAAAACAAGTGCACGATAATAATAATTCATTTTTGAGTTTATCATCATGATAAGGTCGTCAATCCTAAGACTGGTTGGACCCACACCTCCACTCTTTCCTATCCTGAGCTAATCTTCGCATTTCCCTAAAACTAGAACAACCCATATACTTAACTATTTGCGAACAGTAATCTACTCTAATGTAGGTCTACCCCTCCTAACTTCCGTTTCTGCCTCTAATATGTCTCTGACTAGACCTTCATGCCTTCCTACTAACCTATCTCGCCTATTTCTTATTGACTTCCATAGAGTTCTCTGATCTCCTACTCTTTCTAATACCTCTTCATTGTTAACCCTCTCTATCCTCATCATTCGCCTGTAACACCACATTTCGAACGCTTTTAACCTTTTCTTTTCCGCCGTGCCCACTGCCCATGTTTCGCACCCGTACAACGCCGCGCTCCAAACATCTTTTCCAAATTTCTACATTAATCCTTCGCGAGCATAGAAGTGACTTCTTTTTATTTAGTTGCCGATTTTACTATTCGAAGGCATGAAGAGCCGATTGGTTGGGAAAATTTTCAAACTTGTTCAGACAATTAAAGTTTGACCGTATCATAAACGGACACGTACGCTTACATGTGTGTAGCATTGATTCATATGACAGTGTTGGACGACTTGATTGCATTACAAACGCGCATGAGAATGGGTTATTAACGAATTTAAATATTCAGACAACTTGTGCGGCTCTCTCACATTGTTACAATAATTTACAATTCAATGGGCGATGACTCCGCATGTCTAATGGCCAGAACGATACCGATCGCGGTCGTCAAGAGATCGAACAACCGCGCGCGGCACTTTTCCGATAACATCAAGCGAGCATTGTCGAACTGTCCCAGCAACAATGGCGAACGGCTATGAGCTATGAAAACAACGTTTTATTTGTAGTCTTTTTGGCGTTTACATGTCCACTGACAGCGGGACGGAAACAGGCGCACAAATAAATCGAATAATGGCCCTCTGCACTGTGAACGGAACGGATAGAGATACATCTATACCTAACCAGCAACGAAGCGTTCGATAAACAATGTAAATTCCTGACTTAAAATAAAAAAAATTAAGAATTAAAAAATACACAAATACATTACTTGTGTGGATAAAGTGATAAAAATGGGTTCTAAAGTCCCAAAGTTTAGTAAATACCTTCAATCTCCCAACAATATCGCGAGCGCTTTTAATGTTTCAATTATTTAATACGTTTTAACAAAACTAATGCCGAAAGTACCCATTTGGCAACGTACATGAAAATCGTTGGCACCATGAGATTCTGCGTACTTTTTTACAAAATTATCACTTCCTAAAGCCTACTAAACACCTTCCATCTCCCTGTGACTCCATGAGCGCCTTTTTGTTTAAATTATTGTACATATTTTAGAAAAATAATGTCGGAAATTACCTATTTGTAAGTCAACTCAAAAACCCTTGGCACCATGAGATTCTACGTACCTTTTTACATGATTATCACTTCTCAAGCCTTAGCAGATAACTTCAATCTCCCAACAATATCGCGAGCGCTTTTAATGTTTCAATTATTTAATACGTTTTAACAAAACTAATGCCGAAAGTACCCATTTGGCAACGTACATGAAAATCGTTGGCACCATGAGATTCTGCGTACTTTTTTACAAAATTATCACTTCCTAAAGCCTACTAAACACCTTCCATCTCCCTGTGACTCCATGAGCGCCTTTTTGTTTAAATTATTGTACATATTTTAGAAAAATAATGTCGGAAATTACCTATTTGTAAGTCAACTCAAAAACCCTTGGCACCATGAGATTCTACGTACCTTTTTACATGATTATCACTTCTCAAGCCTTAGCAGATAACTTCAATCTCCCAACAATATCGCGAGCGCTTTTAATGTTTCAATTATTTAATACGTTTTAACAAAACTAATGCCGAAAGTACCCATTTGGCAACGTACATGAAAATCGTTGGCACCATGAGATTCTGCGTACTTTTTTACAAAATTATCACTTCCTAAAGCTTACTAAACACCTTCCATCTCCCTGTGACTCCATGAGCGCCTTTTTGTTTAAATTATTGTACATATTTTAGAAAAATAATGCCGGAAAGTACCTATTTGTAAGTCAACTCAAAAACCCTTGGTACCATGAGATTCTGCGTACCTTTTTACATGATTATCACTTCTCAAGC